TTTTTTGGTCGCTCATGGGGCTTGAACTCTTGAGCCTAGACGCTGTCCCTCAGCTCTTCAGCTCAAGGCTAGAACTCTACCACTTGAACCACAGTGCCACTTCCAGTTTTCTGAGTGGTTTATTGGAGATTGGAGTCTCACGGACTTTCCTGCCCAGGGCTGGCTTTGAACTGTGATCCTCAGATCTCAACTTCCTGAGTAGCTAGGATTAAAGGTGTGAGCCAACGGCACCAGGCATGAAATTTAGCTGCATCTTGGAGCTTTTTGTTGATGTTAGAGGCAGAGACTCTTGTTGTTGTTCTTTTTTTTTTCTTTTTCTGATCCTGGGGCTTGGGCTCAGGGCCTGGGCTCTGTCCCTTAGCTTCTGTATGCTCAAGCCTCATGCTCTACCACTTCAGCCACAGCACCCTTTTTCTATTTATGTGGTACTAAGGAATCGAACCCAGGGATTCATTCATGCTAGACAAGCACTGTACGACTAAGCTACATTCCCAGAGGCAGAAATTGTTTAAGTAGCCACCAATATCTATAATATGGAATTTTTTTTCTCATCCAACATAGGGTGAGCCTGTGCCAGACACACACATTGAGAGGTCCTTCCGGGTTGCTTCCTTTTGTTGGCACCCAACACGGCTGGTCCTGGCAATCGGCTGGGAGACTGGAGAAGTGATAGTATTTAACAAGCAGGACAAGGAACAGCACACGGTGCCCACAACACACAGTGCCGACATCACCATCCTCAGCTGGAGCACCAGTGGGAGCTGCCTGGTGTCTGGTGACAGGGTAAGCACATTCAGTCTCCATCTCCCACCATGCTCTTAAGAATGGACCAGGCAAAACATGCTAAAGGCCAGGCTCCCAGATAGAGCTGATCTTGTCAGATATCATTTCAAATTGTTTTACTTTATCTCAGAAGCAAGTCTTAAAATTGTCCTTCTAAGATCACGTTTTATGGTCAATGTATGTCCATAATTTTATTTCCTTTTTTTGGGGGGGGGGGGTCTGGTCGTGGGGCCTGAACTCTGGGCCTGGGCGCTGTCCCTTAGCTCTTCAGCTCCAGGTGAGCGCTCTACCACACTTCTGGCTTTTTTCTTATGTGGTGCTGAGGAATAGAACCCAGGGCCTCGAGCATGCAAGGCAAGTGCTCTACCACTGAGCCACCTTCCCAGCCCCCTCTGTCCATAATTTTAAAAACATACTTTGCTAGGAAATTGCATTTATAGAGATGTCTGAAAGTCCCAGATACCATTAGTTTTTTAAAATGTTATTTATTTATTTATTTATTTTGCATGTACATCCTGGGGCTTGACCTCAGTATCTAGGTGCTGTCCCTGAGCTTCTTTTGCTCAGAGCTAGCATTCTACCACTTGAGTCACAGCTCCACTTCTGGCTTTTTTAGTAGATTATTGCAGATAAGAATCTTGAGGACTGGGCTGGGAAGGTGGCTCAGTGGTAGAGCGCTTGACTTTCATGCATGAGTCCCTGAGTTCAATTCCTCACCACATAAGCCCAAAAAGCCAGAAGTGGCACTGTGGCTCAAATGGTAGAGGACAAGCCTTAAGCTGAAGAGCAAAGAGAGCTGAGAGACAGTGCCCAAGCCCAAAGTTCAGGCCCCACAACTGACAAAAAAAAGAATCTCAAGGACTTCCCTGCCCAGGCTGGCTTTGAACCATGATCCTCAGATCTCAGCCTCCTGAGTAACTAGGAATATAGGTACATACTACCAGTCCTAACTTTAAATACAATTTTTAAAAATGATTTATTGCTGGGTGCCAGTGGCCTCACACCTGTAATCTTAGCTACTCAGGAGGCTGAGATCTGAGGATCATAGTTCAAAGCCAGCCAGGGCAGTAAAGTCCATAAGACTCTTAACTCCAATTAACTACCAGAAAACCGGAGGTAGCGCTGTGGCTCAAGTGATAGAGCACTCACCTTGACCTGAAGAGCTGAGGGACAGCACCTAGGCCCAGAGTTCAAGCCCCATGACCAACCAAAAAAAAAGAAAAAAAAGGTGTATTAAAAGAGGTCTGAAGGGGCTGGGAAGGTGGCTCAGTGGTAGAGTACTTATCTTGTATTCATGAG